TGAGGAGAAAGAAGTTCGGATGTACTTTAATAAATTAGGAGGAATAATTCATACCCTAAAAAGTACATTCAAGGCATAATTTAATTAAGGAATTATGGAGGTCAGGGTGTGCTCTTTCGTCTGCGCAAAAATTCCATAATATTTTTAGAACCAAGTTTACAAGTAAGCAGTCTCAAATGCGCCATTTTTTATTCCTACATGTTTTAAGTACCCGCGTAAATACGCAATTCTTCTTTTCTTAAGATCTTAAACGTTTAAGGTTTTCGTTTGTAGCAAATACTACTTTCTTTTGCCAGTTTTCACGTTAGAAGGTAAGAAAAGGTAAAAAATTGGAACTGACCTTCTCTAAATCTACATTAGGGGGCCCAGGATTCTCGAACATCTATGCGTAGATGCTAAAGGCAAGAGGCACAAATGAGACACGGGTATTGTGGGTGACCGGCGCATTTTCAAGCGCGCTTAGAGAGAGGTGAGACGATTCCTGCAATGTCTACTAATTTCTATGAAGGAATAAGAACCACTGGTGCTTTGATGCGCTTACTATCCACTATTTTTCCATTGTCAGGAAGGCTCAAAAGTCCACACTTATGTCATGGTAATAGGGCAAACTTCTGGAATGTGGATTAACTTTCAGCTAAGTTTTGCCTCTACAAGTTCAAGCATACTAACAAATGCATTGTAATGTCAACCACTAAAAGACCACGAGTTAATCACTTCGTTGGTGTTTCAAGCCCTCCACTTGGCTTCATGGAGGAGAATATAATGGCTTTTTGTCATTCTCCTATCTAAAAATACCTCAAACGTAGTAGACTAAAGGTAAACAAAGCACATGATGACCAAAAAATTCAGCCACATCAAACGACGCCAAATTTGAGGATAGGAATGTTGTTGATTTCAAAACACCAACTAGGCACGCAATTTGGCCAAAGAATATTCACATTTTAATGTCATAGGAGCGACTGAATAATATAAAGAGGATAAAAAGGACGGTTTACGACAAAATATAACTTACTCCTCCCAAATGAGCTTATAAATGAGAGGATAGAGTGACAGAAATTGCGAAGATCCCTTCTTTTGCGCATAGTTGACGGATTAACTAAACCGGAAAACGACTTTCTTCCCCCCTTCCCCCCCCTCCCCACACACGTCCAATTAAAACGCTGTTGCACATCACGGCCTCAAGGTTCAAAATGCCAGTGAAAATTGACTACAGAGGGGAGGTTTGTTAGTTCCGAAACTGCAAGACAAAGTTAAGAAGAATGTCAAAAATTTTGACAGGTTTTTGGACATTTTAAAGTTAAACAAATTAATTATTCAACCGACATTCAAATCAGTCATCTAAAAGAGGAAAAGTGCTTACTTAAATTAGACAGAGACCTCGAGCTTACAGCAACCATCTAGGGCTATGAAACAGATCAGAGAGGCCAGTGAAAGTTTTAAAATGAGTCGCAGATGACCAGAAGGGTTGGAAAAAATGAAACCAAAAAAATGCTTGACAGACACTAGGAGAATGAATAAGTTAATGCCGATCCTTTTCTTAATAAAATGAATACCGCTAGGACCAAGGTCGTCAAGTAAGTGCCAGCATAAAGTACCTCATTAACTCGTCACCATTAGGCAAGTGCTAGCAGTAGGGGGGGAGAGGGGTAAAACTCACTGTGAGGTTATATCCGAAGGGTGAGCTTTCACGATCCAGGGGGATTTTCGCGGTTAAATTGCCGTCCCGATCAATGGCGAGTACCCTGTCGGCGGGTCGTGTGCCTTTCGGCCATTGTATCTCGTAGGAGAGTCTAGCCGCCTCCCCGTCATCTGCGTCTGAGGCCTTTACCTGACCCACAACACTGCCTTTCACCTGGGCCTCCTTTGTCTGAAAGGGAGGAGAATTCCGAAGTTACTTAAATCGAATCTAAGTAGCACGGGACGCCAACTTGAAAAAAATTGATGGGATTAGTGCAGCAGATATGGGCACTTTCCTTCAAGAATGATTAAATATGATGGCAATAAATGCTTTAAAATTTTAGAAACGACTGTTTTGTTGGCAATTTTTTTCCCAAAAGCGATATATGTAGGAAATAAGGAATATATTTGGTGGCATTTTGGTCGGTGGGAAAAAAAATGGGTGGTGCGCGAAATCGTGACAATCGAAAGAAAATATATCTATGCATATTCAGCTCTAGCGGAGAAATTACTTTTCCTATTGCGACAACGCTCCGCGCTCTTACTTCGTACGTCTATGTGTGAGGAAATATTTTCCAATGGATAGATGTCTAATTCCACTCCCAGGCTAATTTTCAAAGAAAAAGAGGAATTTTAAGAAATACTCAATAAATATTAACAAATGTTATTATCACTAACCAGACGAATGAACTGCCTTCGCCAACAGCCTGACAGTTGTGTGTGAACTTCTGGGACAGCGTTGGTCTAGGTTAACACTTAACCAAACTAATAGCTATCACGAGTTGGGACATGGGCAAATCAACTTTTTCTGTAATCTCTTCCCTCGTCATTCCTCTCCATTCGGTCTTTTTTCCTGGTGGGCTTTTAACCATTTTCATCCTCTACGAGAGCGAGCCTAACTTCCGTACGGTGGTGAGATTGTGCCGCCGGAACACACGAGAAGAGGAAACCGTTCCTTTCCCCTGGAACAATACACACGTGGGTTAGGCATCAATCTTCAGATCATAGTTGCAGCCAACTTACTGCCAAGCTACCAGAGCAGCCGACTTGCCGTGATACGACCATTTAAGACAGATAACTTTGACTCCATATTATCTTATCAAAATATACTTGTATGGAAAACCCCCCTTCTTGTTCGCCTTGCTAAGAAGAAAATCTTTTCCTAAAGCATAAGCAGAGACTGAGTTAATCGACTTTGGCAAAGACCACCACCGTTAGAAGAAAAATTTAACCCGATTCACTTCCCTCGTTTTCAAAACCGGTTGTTTTTAAGCCTGACTGGAGGGACCATTGGGGCGACAGTTGAAGTAATTTGACAGGCATTATCATTCAGTAAACCGGGAATTTCAGAATCTGCTCCTTCTAGAATCTAAGCGAAAATAGAACAAAAGGCTGTTATATTCTTTATATGTGTAAATAGATGAAATGAAGAAATTGAAAATCACCCAATTTGTTTCAGAAGGGAGAAGAAAACGAGCACTGAGGAGGGAGAGCTTTGCTTCAAAGAAAGGCTAATTTGGAGAAAAAGATTACAAGTGCCTTGATTTCGGCTTCTTTGTGTAACATTTAAACACCTGTGGATGCCCCTTCAGCTACTTTTTCTTTAGAATCGAACAAAACTAAGGGATGAAATAGCTCTTCGGTAAAGATCCACCGGCTTAAATAGTCCATCCCTTCAAATGAGGGCAGATTTCAAAGCCACCCACGGCTTAGAGTCATATTTAATGTCCCACGTTCCAACAAAACAATTACAATGACATTGGCAGCAGCAAACGGAGAAAAAACTAGCATAAATTTCCATTTTATTATACAAGCTGATAAATAATGTATTTTTAAAGCAATCACAGATTGCAAAGCATCTAAAGAATGCACGAAGCTCCCGTAAGGAAGTTTGCCTTAGCCAAAACCCAAGGTCTAAAGAATAAACAGATTTAAAGTAAAATAATAAAACATTTGAAGCCAATTTGGTCCAGCTTTTTACCTATAACTCACGAAAAAGAAAATCGCCTGACCAAGGGCGCATTTTGAGTGAGAGGTGCTAGTAGCAATTACATTAGGTAGAGTTTGGGGCGCAGCTCTCCAAAAAAGGAACACCTTTCTAATTTTGATGGTGTATTTGAGTCCAATGCAATGAGAAGGCAAAAGCACCGAAAACTGTAAATAGACTGGCCAATTTTACTACCTCCAGCCGTGGGGGTTGCTTGGAGAAGTGCCCCACCTGGCCATTAAAGGTAAGTGTAAGCAACCTCAGAATTGAATCGGTAAAAAGGAAAGACAAAAGGACTATTCTTTTCTCCTTCTTTTTTTCGCTAAAAAGTGCTGCAAAACTCTGCTGCCAACCCTGATTCCGAAAGGCCTGATATGCATAAATAATACCGAAAACTTCATGCATCTTTCGTCTTTACCATATTTTACTATCAATCCTCTTGTATGCGTCAAATTGTAAGTATGCCACTTCAGAGGAAGGAGAGCCCTTTAGCTTCATTGAACTTGAACAAAAGTGCCTTTATTTCATTTAGCTTGAGTTGCATTTAGCACTGCTTAAACAAATTTGCAGAAAAGTAGACGAGAAGTCAGTGCTTTTAAGCCACCCAAAGTGTGTTTTGCCACCTCGAAATGTCGTCAACTTTCGTAAAAGGGGAAGACCTTTTTAGGCACCACAGAGGCAAAGAATCACTTAAAAAGGTCAGACGAGTCGATTACAAAAAAAATTGCAACAAAAGCTGCAATTTTTGATTCACCCTCTTCGTTGGCGGCTCAAGTATATTGTGACGTTGGAATTTAAAACACAACTTTTCTTGTGCCTTCGAAATGGCGTTTTCGTTGTCGTCATGCCTGCCTAATTCTCCCCCACTGCAACTCACCTAAGCTGTGTGTGTGTATGAATTTCGGAGAAACGAATAGGCTTTTAAGAAAAAGGGGCGAAAAATTCCCCGAATGATCGTTTTTCTTGCTACCTAAAATAAGGTAATCAAATCATCCTTCTGTGAAGCCAGGTTTCTCAATGAAAGGACAAAGAATGAGGGAGAAAGGATGAGAACACTCCCTCCTTCATTGTCCCTGAAAAGGGGTGTTTGAAGAAGGGCACTTCTATTGGATAGTTTTTACAGTGGAAAAGCCTCCCGATTTCCGAAACATCCAGTCCAAGGGGTTTTTAAACAGGCACCTATTAACTAAAAAGTGAACCATTTGCTTTTCCATCACAAATTTAAATGCAGGGAGTTAGAGGCGCTACATTCGTGCTTTTTTGGGCCTAAAAAGAGGTGGACAATTGCTAAATGTCCTTCTTTATTGCAAGGAAACTGGCACTATATTTCAACATTTTAAGGTACCACCAATAAGTAGTATCTGGTAGAAAAGTTTTGATGTCTGGCGTTAGCCAAATAGAGCTACAACTTTGTTTTACTGCACTTCGGATATCTACGATTTTCACTTATTTGACCAAATTGGCGGTAAAAAGGAGGCTTTTAAGTTGACATTTCCTGTCAGCACAACCTAAGGTTAGTTTCACCAAATTTTCCTCTAGGTTCGACATTCACTCTAAACTGGAGTGCTTCCAGAAGGCCACGACCTCGTCACAAAACTTTCTCCGCATAAGTAGTTGAAAGACTCAGTAATTAGTGTTTTAACTGTCTAGCTATTCAAAAATTCGTGAATTTTTTGGTTCCTAAAGAGATCTCTTTTTGCAATAGGTGTAGGATGAAATAGTCGGGAAAAAAGGGCCTTTCAAAAACCCTCGAGGGCACATGAATGGGGGTGTAAAAAGGGAATTGGCAATGAGGGCAAAGCGAGACATGCCAACTCACAGTCAAGCGGTAGAAGGGAAACTCGAAAACAGGGCTGTTGTCATTCTCATCCTCAATGAGAAGTCGAATCTGGTGACTGGAGGAGAGGCGTGGACTCCCCTTATCCTCACAGAATATTTCAACACTTCGAATTTTGTCCGCTTCTCGATCAAATGTGCCACTCACAAAGAGGTCGTAGATCATTACTTGAGGCAACTGGCCTTTCAAAACGAGAGAAAAGTGCTCCGCGTCTTCCGATCGTAGTAAACAGTCAAATTCCCCTCCTTCACCCGTGTCTCTGTCGTTTACAGTCACTGTGGCTAAATGCTTCTTCATCAACTTCACGTTCTCTCGAATTCGGACTGCAGTCACGTCTAAGTGTTCCTCATTATCTTCTTGAGACCTATACGACATGGAGGATTGAATGCTAATGCTAGGCGGGTGGTTGTTAGCGTCTTTCAGTTGGATGGAAACATCTGTGAATGAAGAGCGTGGCGGTCTTCCGCTGTCTGTGGCAACCACTTGGAAATTCCACGCTATCGGACCGTCGTCGTAACTCAGGGGACGAGCTACTCGAAGTTGACCAGTATGGCTATCGATGGCGAAGGTCTTCTGGGTCTCTAAAGGTGTTGAACGCGCAAAAGAGTAGTACACCCTTCCATTGGCACCTTCATCTGGATCCATAGCTTGAAGGTGATTCACGAGCGGTCCTGTAACTCCGTTATCATCAGACTGGCGGGAACTAGAAATCGGTCGTAGTTGGATAGTACTTCCAACCGGTGCAACTTCTGGTAGTTGAGCCACATAGCGTTGGAATGTGAAGGCAGGAGAGTGATCATTGTCATCACTAACTCTGACATGTATCTCCAAAGCAGCAGTGTAATAAGGTGGACTTCCATCCATGGCTAGAAGGGTTAAATTTATCCATGGTAATTTTTCTCTGTCTAGAGGTTTCAGCAGAACTAAAATTGGACTACCGATTGGAGAGGGTGTAGATTTTACCCGACGTTGCTGATCTCGTGTCTGCCGTCGTTTGAGTGTGGGAGAATGGAATGGATTGATTTTCAGCATAAATAAATCCTCATAAGCTGGAGGTGCAATCAACTTGTACTCCTTAATGCCATTAACACCATAGTCTGGATCATGAGCTGATGATAGTTCCGTGGTAAAATTTGGAGCGCTATTCTCAGGAATTGTTATTGTTACAAAGGGAACGGACCAGGAGGGAGCATTGTCATTGACATCCTCAATATGTACACGAAGGGAGATGTAATTGCCGCCATTATCGACTAGAAAACTGCTCCATTCGCAGGTCTCTGGAAAGCCTGGCTCTTTACAGAGCCCCGAACTACCCTCTCGATCCAAGATCCCAGCTACTAAGAGGGATCCTTCGGAGTCGAATTTAAAGAAGGGATTCTGTGGAAGGGAGAACTGAAATCTCTGGTCTAGTGGTAAACTAATTTTGTCGTAAATACTTCCAATAATCTGACCCTGTTCTGTATTTTCTTCTACCTGGAACATGACTTGTGGAAGGTCTCTGCTCTCAATCCGCGCAATGTCAAATGTAGAGGACATGGAATAGCTGAAATGCATTGATAGGACCAGGAACAGCTGCAGGGAAACCACTAATCCAGCAGCCTGAATGAGCATCTTAGGTGGAGACGATGGAAGGCGATAGAGGAGTTCGGTAGATCCATGAACAGTCAGTCTCGATCAGTGCCAGCATTCGAGACGACTACCCGACATGTGCATGAATGATGTGCAGAATGGCATGGTAGTGCCGTCGCCTTTCAGACACCCTTGTGCTCTCCAATTGGCCCATTAGGTGGCCAATCAGTCAATAGGTAAGACACCATTGGCTGGAGAGATGTGGCGTTTAAGTTAGTGCATCCTTAATCAACCCTCAGGGGCCTTTGGTTAGTTCTCGTGCGGCATTTTGGTTTATTTTGACAAATTACACACACGCACAGGCACATATACACACAAAAGTGGGGATTTTCTGCGTGCATTGCACACATTTTAGGGGGTGTGAAAATAGCCACAAGACTCATGTGAAGTGGCGACCGTTGGGTGTCTTTGTGGAATTGAGCAGGCATGTAGATTTTATAAAGTCCAACTCTGTCTGCCTAAATTGGCGCCTTTTGTGTGGGCTTTTGTGTTAACAATACCAACTCAACAGTATGAAAGCCAAAACACCGAGGAAAGGATGTTTATTTCCTTCTTTTGTAAAACTTGATATTTTTTGCTTAGCACAATCTCTGTCAATAAATTTTGCATTTCCAAGAAGCGTTTTATTTAATATTGTAAAAATCTCATTCATTTAAGATGAAATTATGACTTCACAACCATCAAATTGATAGCAGAGAAATACTATTGAATGTCAAATTTCTTTGTGAGTAGGTAGAGAGAAGATTTTGCCAGAAAATTCGCAATTTTAAGGCAACAAATCGATTTATTTTCCTTTTTACAGTGCGCAAAGGCCGCCGCTTTTGCGAGGAAAAAACAAATCAGGTAGTTTTTTAGAAGAGATGAACTCCGGATCCTACTTTTTCATTTTTGGGATTTGAAAGAGGGTTTGGAGTACCTAAAACCCTCTCTTAGCATTTTATAAGCTTTTGCATGAAAGTTTGATCCCATTTCATATCTTAATGCCTTAGGACATTTTTTAATCTGCTTTTTTGTTGAATCCTCCCCATCGGATGAAGTAACGTGGGGGCAAACTCTGCAATCACATCCAAAATAGGATAATTGCATAAGAATGGCGACCTTTCTCCTGGTTTCTCCAGTTGAAGTCATGGCAGCGTCCATGGTTGCACAAATAAACATCAGATCATAACAGCAAGAGAATGCAAAATGGAGCAGGATTGTGTAAACTCAGGTCAACTAATCCCAACGAGACAGATCACCGCTGCGAAAGTGAGGGCACTCGGTCTTAGAAGAGAAAATGGGTCGTCCGAGGTAATCATATGCCTTTATGTGATTTGCTGTAACAAAGAATAGAGAGTTGTGGCCATCTTAGTCGTGTAGACAAGTGCCATCACAGGCCGTCATTTAATCCTTCCTCAAGGCAACTCAAAGGCCCTGCAAATTTCCTGTTTTTTTCTTCAAAGGCATGCATCCTAGCCTTGAGCGATTTCGTTCCTGTTTGCCCCTTTTTTCTAAAAGAACGGTCAATTCCCCCATGTAATTGTCCAGCGTAGAGGGAGAGTAAACATCATCACTCGAAGAAATATTATTAAGAGACCATTAAAGAAGTGAAGCATGAGGCCACCCCTTTTTCCTTTCCTAAGTTAAAGTTGGTCTTTGGGTAAGTTTTGCGGCCTGAATTGTAAAGATTTGATCTGTTTGTTAAGAAGGTAACTTCCGTCGGCTATTTCTAAATAAGTAGTATTTTTGACTGACTTCGAGTAGCACAGCAATGAATGTATTTAGTGGATATGCGAACCCCTGACGGAGTTTTGTTTGGTATTTAATGAGTGAACAACTGAGTCAGCATTCTGCCACGCAACTGCATAGAGCTGGGATGGTCGATGAAGTGGTTTCTTATGGCTATGGCCTTGTGTTGGTCGGCCAAAAATGCAAAACGGTGTTGTTTTTCCATCGGAAGGGAAAGAAATGCGAATAACTTGACTGTCTCTGTTGCTAATTCCCATCTCTTGATGGACCCTCTGCCTAAGCTTCCACAAATTTCCCCTTCCACTCAGTGCAAATGCAAATGAGCCGATTTAGCATTACTCACTTTCAATTACGGTGAAAGCTCATCTTGACACATCATCCGTGATTTTGGACCTTGATTTCTTTTTGTCAGCAGGATTATTGAATCCTCCCAACTCTGAATTCGCATCTACCTTCCCGTGACATCACGGATTTGTGGACTGCGTGTTCTGCCACTTCGTACCTCCTCCAAATTCTCCACTTCACCTCGAGTAGTCAAGCAGACAGACTCGAATCACGCCCATTAAGTTGGTTTAATTCATGAAGTTTGACAATTGTTTTGATCTCTAATAATTCCACTTTTTGTCTATGCTTTC